CGGCCCGGACCCCCCTGGCCCCAGCCCCCCCTTGGGACCAGGCGGGCCCTGGCTGGACACACCCTTGCACTGTCACCCTTAGCAACTGTTGTTAATTAATATTAACGGCCCAATAACCGGGGACACTCGGGTGGCGTGATGCAGTGACATCGGTCTCCTCCTCTGGGCGGAAGGAGGCGTTTGCTGAGGGCTGACCGTGCCCCAGAAGTGGGCCACGGAGGCCAGGGTGTCGCTGGGAACCCCACCCAACAGGCTCCTCGCCCTCCGATAGGGATCTGCCTGCCGCCAAGATAGGCCGACCTTGGTCCCCGCGCTCGGTCGGAGCTTATCGGGCTGCCCGGGGAAGGTCCCTGTGGCCGCCTGCCGGAGGGAGCTGCAGGGACCTCCTGCCTCCCTTGTTTTCTGGACCCTGGCCTGACCCGGTCGGAGGGTCACCAAGTGCAAGCGCCTGTCCGGGAAGACAGGCGGGGGTGAGGGCCAGGGGAGGGGGCGGGGCAGCCCTGAGTCTGCAGAGGAGCTTCAACAGCTGGGCCAGTGCAGGGACTTCCATCAGCACCTCCGGGTGGCACCGTCCCTGCTGTCCCCCCTCCTCCTGGTGTCTCCCCAGCAGCACCTGAGACAGGGATTCCAGGGGCAGCAGGAAGCCAACCAGGGTGCACTAAAGAGTGGGCTCACCAGGGACCTTGGGGAATGTGGGGGCCTGCCCAGGGGCCCCCCCAGGGAGGAGGATCGGGCGCTGGTGGAGGACATGGGCAGCTTCAAGCTCCTGTGGCCCTTGTGGGGCCCTAGGGGCCCAGCCCACCCCATCGATCCAAGGGTGGCCCTGGGGAGCCCCTAGGAATGGAGCCTGGCATGGACTTTTAGGGTCCCCTCTGGGACACCCACAGTCTGCCACTTGGCTCCCTTTGCACGTGGCCTGCCAGGCTGTGGGGCAGTCACACTGACAGAGGCGTCTGCACCCCTCGTGCCCGTCCCAATTCTTACTCAGCCTCCCTCGGTGCCTTATCAGCCTGCTGATTGCTGGGCTGAGTCCCACAGGCCGATCACTCACCTCGCTGCTTTCCCTATCTCGTCAGATGAGTAAGTTTCTGGTTGACGTCTTTGGGTTTCACTGTATTTCCTCATTTTGCATCTATTTCCTTAAATGAGGAATCGATCCTGGGGTGAGTGTGTCAGAGTGGCACGTTTATGGCCCCACATGCGTGCTCAGCTCCTCCGTGGCAGTCAAGGATGCACGGATTGCTTACGGGATCCTCGCACTGACGCCTCGGGGGGTCGGATAAGCTCCCCTGCCACCATCAGTGCCCGAGCTGCCCAGTCCCCAGCTTCCCCTGCACTGTGCTGTCTGCTGCCGGACTTGACAAGTTTAATAACTGGAAACGGGTGCCTCCTCGAGAGGCCCAGGAGCGACCTGGCCCTGAACCCAGTCCCCCAGTGCAGGAGGCGGGGGCGAGGGGCAGCCACCAGCACAGGAGCCTCTGGGGGTCAGGGGAGCTCGTGTGGACAGGCAGCCAGCGTGGGAGTCGAGGGCTGGCTGTGCGTCTCCGGGCCATCAGACTGCAGCCAGTCCGAGGTCAGGGTGGGGTGCTGCCTGGCCAGGCACTGTCCCGGGCCTTGGCACTGGCTAGCTCCTGGCTCACCGGGCCGAGCAGCCTGCAAGCTGAGATGTGGGCTCTCCTTCCCCGGCTGTCGGAACCCAGATTCTGAGTGAAGGTGTGCCCACGTCCAGGCAGCAAGCAGTGCCGCGGGCACTCGCTGGGAGTGAAGACAGGCAGGTGCTACTGCGCCCGCTGTACACCCAGGAAAGGGCACCGCAGCCCGGCTGGGCTCAGGGAGGCTCCTGGGTGCCAGGTTTAGCCAAGAAGCAGGACGCCAGCTAGTGTGGTGCTGTTTTTAGGAGAGGAAGGGAGAGGGATAGAGAGAAACGTGATGGGAGAGGGGCATTGACTGGCTGCCTTCTGCACAGCCCACGGGGGATTGAGCCCGCCACCCAGGCATGTGCCCTGACCAGGGATCGAGCTGAGCCATCAACTGGTTCCTGGACCAACACTCAACGGCCGAGCCACACTGGCCAGGAATACCAGCCAGTTTTGAGTTTCAGATGAACCATCTAAATGTTTAGTGTAACACAAATACTATTGGGGAATACTTATGCTAAGGTGACACCCCTTATCACAGCACCTCAGGGACGAACCCGAGGCTGAAGGGACAGGGCACGACTCAGGGCCAAAGACCTGTGCACCCCACTGAGCTGGCAGCGAGGCTGGCAGCTCACTCCCTGTCAAATGGGAGGGCATGTGCTCCTCAAGGTGCCCTGGGGTCTGCGGCATCAGCCATCCTGCAAGGAGGCCGCTAGGAGTGCAGATGCTCAGGCCCGGCCCCCATGCTGCGAGCGACACCTCAGAGAAGCCACTGATCGGAAGGTGCATTGGCTTGAGGGGCCTGTGTGCAGAGCCGGTGTGGGGGTGCGTCCCCCCCGACAGAGGAGACCCTGGAGGCAGCGCATCACGGGCCCCACAAGGGCTGCTCCCGAGGACTGACCACCCCAACGTGCAGCTCTCCAGCTCGGCCGGCCACCACTCCCACTGCTTCCTGGGGGGGCGGGCTCTATGATGCCCTCGGCTCGCGTCTGCCCAGCAGGCCCCTTGCACGTGGGAAGGCTGGGCTGGCACCTGCACCCCCCGCCCCAGGGTGGATGGCGCTCTTTCCCATGTAAAATGGCGTGACCAGCACAGCGCAGCCCCCCAGGAAGCAGGACGCCGAAAGCTCTTCCAGACAAGGGGGTGGCATTTGGCAGAGGCCCCTCCTGCCCAGTTTGGAGCTTGTCATTTCCTCCTGGGACAGTGCCCTGGAGACCAAAGTCCCAGGGCCAACCGATTCCCTAAAAGCTGAGTCATTGGTTCTGAGTCACGAATGCTCTGCGACGGGACTAGCGGGAGGGGGGACGCCTCTGACCTACTCATGGGTGGGTTTCCGGGAACTTACCCGCCTGTCATCGGCGCTCCCCCTAGAGACCGCCTGCGCCTTTGAATTGTGAACAGGAACTGTTTTCAAAAGTAAATGAGATCGCTTTCTCAGCCTTTGCCCATTTTTGTGACCCCTTCCATTTTCGGTTCATCCTCAGACATGGCAGCCCCCCGTTTCCACACAGGATGCTGTTCCCACCCGCCTCCCAGGCCCACCTGCGCGGGCAGCCAGCACCCGGACGCCTCAGCTGGGTGAGCTGTGTAACCTCCTGGTGCCCTGGACACCCCGAGGGCTGGCTATGGAGCACAGCCCAGGCTGCCCCTGGCCCCCAGCCCAGCCCCTGGCCTACCCAACAGGTGTTGTCGGGCAGAGGGATGCTTCATGAACTGTGGGAGGCGGGGCACACTGAAGGCCTGATTCTTTTTCACGTTTTTATTGATTTTAGAGAGGACGGGAGAGATGAAAGAAACATCGATCAAAGAATTGATCAGCTGCCTCCTGCACGCCCCCTACTGGGGATTGAGCCTGGAACCTGGGCACACATGCTGACGAGGAATCAGCTGGGACCTCCTGGTGCATGCTCAATGCTCTACTGTTGAGCCAGGCTGGCCAGGTGAAGGCCTGATTCTCGACACCCCACTCCCCACAAAGCTCCGCACATACAGGGCTGTGCCTGCCTCCCTCCCTCGTCTCTGGCACCGGGTGCCCATCCAGGCGCGGTGACTGTACCAGCCACGGGGAGATGCTCATGGGCCTCCGACCCCCCGACAGTCCCAGGGCGCCAGGGTCACCTGGAAATGCTGAGCTTCTCCGAGCTGCTCAGGGGCTGGCCCTGCCCCTGCCTTCCCGGCCCAGGGACCCCTCACGTGCTCATTAAGGGCAGACACTTCAGCACCAGACTGACTAGCCCAACCAGAGGCCTGTGTCCTGTGTGAGGTCTGAAGATGTCCGGGCCCTGGACACCCTTCCTCTGCAAACTCGGGCAGGGACACTCCACACAGCCCTGGCCATTCACACCCCCAGCGGCAGGGCCCGCTCCAGCTCCCTGCCCCCGCAGCAGCCTGGCCTTGTGAGGCCCGATGAGCAGATGGGGGTCCTGATATGAGGGCCACAACCAAGGACAGCTGCAGAGCCCTCCTCTGGGGGGACCCTCTCCTCCTAGGGCAGTGGTTCTCAACCTGCTGGCCCTTTAAATACAATTCCTCATGTGACCCAATCATAACATTATTGTCGTTGCTACTTCATAACTGTAATGTTGCTACTGTTACGAATCGTCATGTAAATATCTGACATCAGGATGGTCTTAGGCGACCCCTGTGAAAGGGTCGTTCGACCGCCAAAGGGGTCGCAACCCACAGGTTGAGAACCGCTGTCCTAGGGCCTCCTGGCCAAGTGGAGAGAAAAGAACGAGGTGTGAGAGCCTCACAGAACCACTCGTGCACTTGGCGGTGTGACGGGAGCGGCAATGCCAGGAGCTCAGGTCTGCATCCCCAGCGGCCCCAGGAGGGCAGGCAGCAGGTCCGAGGCGAGCAGGGCCCCACTTTCCTGTGGTGAGCTGTTGTTTCTGAGCTTCAGGGGATGGAGGCTGGCCAGTGTGACCCCAAGCAGGAAGGCACGGGAGCAGGTGTGGGCTGGAAAGAGACCTGAACCAGGCAGGCATCTCCCAGGCCGAAGGCCCCGCTGCAGGGCGGCACGGTTACCCCTGCTGGCCACGGGGCCGTCGGCAGAGGGCCAGGCACTGCCTCCCAGCAGCGGGCTCAGAGGGCTGAAACCTGCAGGAGGCCCGACGGAGGCAGCCAGAACCTTTATTCTGTCTTTAAGGCACAAAATGCGGCCTGGCAGTGCCACGGATCTGGAGGCCACAGTCTGCCTGCTCCAGAGCCTAGTGCATTCGTCCAGGGCGGGAATCAGTCCCTCTGTCGAGGGGGAACACTACTTTCCCGCCGTGCTCAGCCCCACGAGGCCAGGAAGGCAGCTGAGGCGCCTGGACGCCCTCAGGAGGGCGCCGCCCTGGGTCTCTGCTTCACTCCTCTGTGCTTGAAGCTGCGCAGTGGGTTCTGGGCCTTCACCTTCTGTGGGGAAGGTGGAAGGTCAGTGGACACCCAGACAGACAGCCCAGGGCCAGACAGACGCTGCTGTGGTCACCTGCAGCCTGGACGGCAGCAGGACAGACAGCCTGTCCTCCTCGTCTTGAAGGCACACGTGTGTGGCGGCAGGAGCCCCAGGCCCTGGCTCTGACCTTGCGGCCAGGAGTTTGGCCAGATGTTGGGACCCCTCTCCTCCGAGGTGTGTGCAGATGGGGTGACAGGGAACCAGGTGGGGGAGACCACAGCTGCTACCAAGGCCGGGGGGGCGGGGCATACCTTGACTTTCTTAGAGGACGGCTTCTTCCGCTTCCTGTGAGGGCGAACCAGGCCGCGAAGAGCAGGAGGAACTGGAAGAGACACGTGGCCTCAGTAGCTGCCCCCGACCCTGCTGACCCCTCACCCACGTGCCCTCCGGGCTCTGCTGCGACCTCTCCCCCGGCTGACTCAGGGCCGCACTCCAGTCCCACGTTAAAGTGCCCACAGTCACACAGCTTTTTGACGTCCCAGAGTTTGTTGCAATAATCGTGTAAGGAAAGGAATTAAGGTATGTTCTTAAAGAAACGCTACTGAAATAGGGAGAAGGTCTGCGTGTCGCCCCCACACGTGGCCGTTACCAGATTCACCCCAAACTGGTAGCCACCTGTCAGACACACGCTCCCAATGTGCTGCAGGCCCTGGCTTCCGCCCTCACCTCCAGCCAGGCCTCGGTCAGAGGCCTCTGAGTAGCACCCGACACCCCAGCCGGCTGGCCACTCACTGTTGGCAAATGGCTGCTCCCGTGTGACGAGGACAGCTCCCTCCTTGCCCCTGAGCCGCCGCCTCCACCACAGAGCACCGCCCCCCCGGGACCGCGG